GGGTGTGTTGAGCAAAATTCTCACGGTTCCTAGAGAGGGGACCCGGTCTGTACTGGGCAGAACTTGCTCATCTGAGTTTACTGCTGTGATTTATAAGACACCCACAACCAAGGTTGCTGGGATTTATAAGAAAATCATGAAGAGTGAGTACCAGTTAGTCTTTGAGTTCATCAACAAAGTTCTCTTTCCTCGCACTGAAAAGAGGACAGTAGCAACTGCTGCTGACTTGTTTGTGATGGAGATGTTGTGCAACTTCGAGGCTCTGAACCTCTCTAGTCTGATGCTTGAGCATATCCACAAAACTGTCATTGAGAGAAAAGGTATTCACGGAATGGGTTATGGATACTTTCTCACGGAGGTATTCAAGCATTTTCAAATTACTCTCAGTGTGGGAAAAATGGGGACAGTTAAGCAAACTATCTCCGAAAGTACCTTGGTTGAGTTCGAATGCATTGAAGGAAAAGGCTATCCTAAGAGCAAGATGACCCAACTTATTGATGATCAAGATCAGCTTAAGCACGAGGTCGAGGAGCTTACTGTGCGGTTAAGTGGTAGAGAGGCAGAGATTGCTATACTCAAAGAAGAACTTCTTACTGCACAGAGTGAGGGACCTGGTTCTTCAGTGGTTCAAGCTCTGGAGAAGAGAATGTTGAGTTGAAGGCGAAGATAACTGCCCTGCATGAAAAGGCCATCAAGGACAATGATGCTGCCAATGCACGACTCACTCTTGTTATCCAGTCCCTGTCTCATCCTCCCCCCTCTTCCTAGCCTGTTGAACAACCCTCCCTGTGTCAATTTTTTTTGTGTGGCTTATTAATGTGTTGATGGATATTCAGTTTGTTTTTAATGTATTTATGTTATTATGGCGTGCTGGTTAATTTATTCCTTTGCTGTTCTAATTATCTTCGTTTGTGCATGCTTTTCCATCACTGATTGATTGCTTGATAGCTTTGATCTTGTTCAGTGTTTATGTTGAACTCAATGGTTTACTGCATATCTTTTTTATGATGCCAAAAGGGGGAAGCAAAACTGTGTGTAGCTAAATGATAATTCAGTGAAGTGGAATATACAGTGAGGGGGAATATAAAAAGGGGGAACAAAGTTGGAGAAGATTCTTGATCGTTGTTTGTCATCATCAAAAAGGAGGAAAATGTTATTTGTAGTTTTGATGATTTGACAAACCTAGGGACCTTGTAAAGGTACCAGGTTTCTTACTTGAGTATTGCAGGTTCTTACTTAAGTGTTGCAGATGAAACAAACCCAGGGACCTAGTAGAGATACAAGGCTCTCATGATGATGAGCCAGCCGACTGCCAGTTGGAGACGGTACAGAAAGTAGGTGCACACTTCCCGATGGCGTCAGAAAGTGTGACTTTTCCAACCAATGGCAAAAAGGTTTAGGAAAGTGACTTGTCTATACAAAAGGCACTTTCCTAAACATTTTGAAGCAGTTTTTGCAACTTGATAAAAACTTTTCAAGAACTCTTGCAAAGGCTTCTACAAAGCAAAGGCAGAATTATTCCAAGAACAACAGCAATTTCTGGAGCTTTTCGTCTAGTTGTTTAGGAATACATTCTCTTGTTCTTAAACTGTAAACCATTCCTGAATCTATAAAGGAATTGGTGTGTATTTTTAAAAGTCTAGGTTGTCCAGGTGGGATAGCTTAGTGGGTAGATTGTTTTCTACTTAGGCTTGTTAAGCAATAGAGGACTATTGCTTAACTGTGAGATTGATAACTCTTTCTTACATTTGTTGTAATCGTGTTTTACTTTTGCTTTTGAAGATTAGTGAAAACGATTGAAAATCCTGTGAGACAGGTCGTGGTTTTACTCCCTTAAGCAAGGAGGTTTCCACATAAAATTATCGTGTTAATTTTACTGCATTTAACTTTCTGTTTTTATTCATTAGTGTAGTAAGGGACCTGGTCCATTACTTGTTAAGTGAAGACATATATTCTATCAGGACAGAATGAACAATAATTTGAAAACTGGATCAAAATGGCTAAATAATTATTTGAGAATGCCTATACGTAAATTGGCCTACTGGTTTGGAAGTAGAAAGTTTGTTTTACTATGAATTGAAAAGGATTAATAAATAATAACTTTTGTTTTACTATGAATTTTATTTTGAAGAAATCATTTAAGAAATGAGAACTGAAAAGGGGGTCAGCAAGTACTGCTATGATAATAATGATGGTGGAGCCAGTAAGTAAATTTCTTAGGAAGAAAATATTATTCAGTAGAGAAGAATGACAGATATGAACACAATTTTTTAAATAGGAGAACGAGATGAATGGAGATTGGTGTCTGGGCCGGCATACTGTTCACCTAATTATGTCCACCAAGGCTAGAACAAAAAGAAAAAATCACCTAGAATTTTATCCCGTATTGAAATTTGAATATGTTTAACTTCACCACTAAGACGCACCTGCTTCTTTTTTTCTGTTCTGCTAGCATAACATCATCTCTTGCACACTTGAAAGATTTTACTTTGATTCCAACTTCAGCTTCTCACGGTGGAATAGTTTTTATACTGATATAACACAACAAATTCATGAAAATGATAATAATAATAATAATAATATATCTGGCCAAAAATAGAGATGATGAAAGCTGGAATAAATATTTTAAAAGAACACTAAGTATGTGATTTTATTAAAAAAATTAGTTAACTTTATTTTATATCAATAAAGTCACTCAACTTATGAATTTTCTTTTATAAAATCACTCAACTTAAGCTATTTTTTTTGGAAATCATTATAACCACAAAGTAAAAGAAATAATTACACAAACCACCCTTCAAGTTTAGTTTTGTAATACTTATTTTCATTGATATTTTGATATATTATGCTTAACTCTCTTATTTTATTTTCTTTAACAAATATTTTCTTAAGCTAATTAATATTATTCTTAAAAATAAAAATTAATAATTTAATTAAATTTCCATTTATCATATATTTATTTTATTTTATTGATTCTATAACATTTTTATACTAAACTTCTCAAAAAAATCATTATAACCCTAAAAAAAGTTAATACTTTTCTCTGCTCGAGTTATACCCAATTTTGTGTGATTCCATGCTATTATATAGTGAATACTGAATAGCATGTCATAATCTGTCATTTAGGAAAAATTGGAAAAGTAATTATGCCAAAACAGTTGTAAATATATTCAGGCAATATGTGATATACTCATTTATCTATAGTTAAGTATTGGCCTCCCTCACAAGTCTATTCTTAATACATCTGCTCTATGTCATTCATCAAGTAAAGATAAGCATTGAACACGTAGAAGCACTTCTTTTTTTGTTCTCTACATGTACCATATTTGTAATTTAATTAGATGATTTTATTATTATTTTGCTCCCAGGCAAGTGGGTATCAGTGTTCTAGTAATGACATATTAAACAAATTTTTGAATGAGTTTTCAAATTATCTTATCATAAGTAAATATTGTTTGTAGTTTTATTTGGTTGACGCTTCAAATTTTACTTAAGCCATGTAGAAAATTGAATCATTTCTCAACAACAAAAAAAACTCACATCTACCTACCTACATAATGATTTTTTTGAGAAATAAAATAAAAAGATGTTATAAAATCAATTCAATTAAATAATATATGATAAAGGGCAATTTAATTAAATCATGAAATCTTTATGTTAAAATAATTAGGTTAAGAAAATATTTGTTACAAAAATAAAAATAAGAAAGTCAAGCATAACATTATAAACTACATTGGAAAGAAGTATAACAAAAACTAGACTTGAAGGGTGGTTTTGTGCAATTAAATTTATTATTTTTTGGTTATAATGATTTCCTAGAAAAAAGGTTTAAGTTGATTGATTTTATAAAAGAAAATTCGTAAGTTGTGTGACTTTATTGATACAAGACAAAGTTGAATGATTTTTTCAAATAATTTCTCATACTTGAATGACCTTTTGAGATATTTACTCGAAAACCTGATATAGCTTTTTCATTACAAAGACATATAAAACATGTTCAAACTTGTTGGGGGTATATCCCAGTTAACCAAGCAACATGTACATTCGATTCGATTTCAGGATTCTCTCAGCTACACAAGATTTCAAACATACAACTTCTGAAGTTTAGCATCCAAGAAGACTACCTTAAATGAAAGCATCGTTAGTCACATCCCATTCACACGAGCATATAAATAGACCAAGGTAAAGCCTGGAAGAAAGTTGAGGAAATTTAATCATAGCCGGCCATTTCAGGCTTCTAAGAAACGGAACTTAAAGAACGCATTAACAGGGGTGCACAGGTAGGAATCAAGGCTTTATTGTGGCACTTCTATGGAATCCAACTAAAGTAGTACCCTCACAAGACCATGGAGTTTTCACGACTTCAATGAAGTAAAAAACCAAGCTGAGATATCCCAATTATTAATAATACAACAGTGGATAGCTAAAAGTTGAAACATTACACCATGGATCATATAGAAAAACGGATCCAAATCATTGCAACACATTGAATTTTCTAATTTTAGCACTCGCAGAACAAAATATTAACAATAACCCTTCCAGCTAAATGCAGACTTATTAGCATAGGAAAGATTATCTCCCAAATTAGGAATAGAGTATGAATACTCTTGTTTTAGAACCCATACCAGCGAATAATAGATACGCACTAACAACTGGGTACTGAACACGATCATTATTCTGAAAGGTTCTTTCAGAATTTCTGATGTGAAAAGTTGTACACGAAATAAAATTGCACCAGCAAAGGAGAGTTATACTTTAATTGCACCTGAACAAAAAACTTCCATGGAAATGAGCGGTAGAATAAGAAAACTCAAGGACAATAGTAGCAATTTCAAACTCAGCGGCCCTAGTCCACAAAGATAGTCCAACTCTACAGTCCATATTCTCGTTTCATGGCATTTGTAAAGATGTTAGCCAGTCAATCAATTAAATTATACTCATATAAGAACTAGAAGTTCTTGTATTTCAACAATTGGATAGTAATCAAAGGCACCACATCATAGCATTAAATTATACTCACATCAGAACTAGGAGTTTTTGTATTTCAACAATTGGATAGTAATCAAAGGCAGCACATCCTAGCATAAAAAGCATACTGAAATATAGTAGCATGGATAGTTCTATAGAAGTCCAATACTTCACAGACTTCAGCCTATAATTATTGGAGGCAAAGTATATCAAGAACCAAATTCACTATGACAAATCAATGCAGCTAGATCATAATTCCATCGTTATTTCAACAATACGATTAAGAATGAGTTTAACGTTATAAGAATAACACCCCACCAACAAAATCTTAGGCATTCATCATTGAGTTCCTCCTGCACTCGGACAACATATCCATGTAGAACTGACACTTGTCAATGTCTCTTCCGGAGCTAATTATTAATTCGCTGCAAGTTTAACCACAAACAATGACTTCATCAGAATCTTCTTGTCAAGACAAGACAGGTCATACTGACTTAAAGGCCAAAAGAGAACCTCCAATTTGCAAATAATAGTAGTTAAAAGATGTGAAATTAACACTTACATCTTGGAATGCCTTAGTGTGCATACCACAAGCATCTGAACCAGCACCGCTGGTCATTGGTGCAGCTGTAGCAGGTGCTTGGGAAGCAACAGTTTCATGTTGAATGGTGCTTGGACCCATGACAGCATCTACAACCCTATGTGCCACAACACTTCCAGTACCAAAGGCCATCCTTGTAAAACATGCAAATTAAAAACAAACTAGACATCTGTAAGCACCTTCGCCAACTATATATTTGAAGAACTGCTAGTAAGTTTTAAGTTTTTGACATAGGAGAAGACCGTTTTGCAAACAAAATATATATATTTATGAAGAAAATAGGAAGGTTATTATAAGCTGTTTTGCTCTTGTTGGGAGTCTTGCAAACAAAATATAATTGAAGCAATATGATTCAAGTTCCCTGCATACTGCAGGATATCTCATACCTTGAGCTATGGTAAAATCAATACCACCAAGCATGGATCCACCACCACTACTTTGCAAGGGAGCTGGTGGAGGAGCATGGTTTACTGCAAAAAAAGAAAAAGAGAGAGGATATGAAAATGCACAGGCAAAGGAAGGAAGTAGTACTGCAAACCAATGATATAAATAATTTGCAAAGAGATGAAAGTCTGACTATAAAAAAACCAACCTGGGGCTGGAGCAGGACGAGGGGGGGAGGACGAGCATATCTTCCTAGATAAGGAAACAAGAAAAATAGAAAATCATCAACCAGGATAAAAAGGGGACAAAAAATTACCCTTTCTTTTTCCTTTAGCAAAGAATGGAACTAATAAATTACAACAGAAGACTTCACCGCAAAACGGAAAGTGACAGATGCAAACATTGATTGAGAATTAAGATGAACAAGCACAACCAACTGCCCAACCAACACAACAATAATAGTATTTACTTGGGCGGCGACAATCATATTACAAAACAAGAAAAAATGTCACTACCTCAATCCTATACATTGAACATGAAGAATGATGCACTAAAAGAAAATACATATAATTGAGTTTTAAAGCAATTTTGCGTACCCTATCGTAAGAAATTCAGTTTGTATCCTGTCCCTTTTATAAAAGGCTAAATCTCATTTCAAAATTTCTAGGCCTCATTTTATTTTCGAGGAAGATCTCATGTCAAAATTTCTAGCCTCACGCCCAATACAACAATCAAAGGACACAATTAAAAATAAAACTATTATCTCATAACATCAAACAAACAGTGGTTTCTTCAGTGAAATACAGTGTAAACAGAAAAATCAATGCAACAATTATTTCAATGTAACTGACTCTTGTTTTCTTCTTAACACCCACGAGCCAGAAATACAATCAAACTGATATCCACCTAACTTTAGCTCAATTGAGATGATATAACCGACACATGAGAGAAATATTTGGGAGAAAAGCTCCAATTAGGGCATTAATTATCGAATCTACAGTTTCTTCATTAGATAAGCATAGTTGAAGTATTAAGATAATTAATCACAAAAAAGAATAAGGGGTACAAACTATCTAATCAGTTCAATCAAAAGCCTAAGCTACACATTTGAAAATACAAACTACTGAAGTTGCAATTTTACAGTAAAGAAATTTCGTACATATCTGTAAAAATCTTAATCAGAAAAAAAATACTTTTTTGACTTCACAAATAGTAATACTAAAATTCGTTTTAGGACGTAGATATTAAGGAATAGCAATTCTTATTGCCAAAACTCGAATTAAAAGAAACATCGTAACTGTTGAGTTAAAGTGTATAGATTAAAAGTTGGTTACTAGTTAGTTAAAAATCAGTTACAAAAGTTTGTTATGATTAATTGTAATTAGGTATCTTAACTAGTCTAGTTAGTTAGTTGATTAACATCTATATATAGTGATGTATAGGTATCAATGTAAATATACGGCATTCATAAAATTCAAAGAGAAGTTTCTTCTTCTTCTTCTTGGCCTGCTGTTCTATCAGCTTATGCACCATTAGTGGTGCTTTCATGGTATCAGAGCTTAGGTGTTGCTCATGCGATTGTTTAGCTTTCAGTGCAGTAGAAGAATTGAAATACTGTATTGTCCTAGAAGCTATTGAAGATCGCAATTACAACAACAATTGATCATGCCGACTGAATCTTCAACCAGTGGTGCAGTTCAAGGAGGAACTACAATGGTGGATTCTCATCATCCACTTTTCTTACAGTCATGTGATACTCCAGGTAGTTCTCTAGTTTCTATTCAACTTACTGGATCAGAAAACTACACATTATGGAGTAGATCTATGAAGATAGGTCTTCTAGGTAAAGGGAAAATAGGATTTATTGATGGAAAATGCAGTAAGGATAAATTCAATTCTTCTCTACATGATCTATGGGAAAAATGCAATGCTATAGTGCTATCATGGATAATGATCTCTGTAAGTAGGGAATTACTGAGTGGAATAGTCTATGCAAGTAGTGCTCAACAAGTGTGGACTGATCTAAGAGAGAGATTTGACAAAGTTGATGGATCTAGAATTTTTTATCTGCATAAGGAGATTGCTACACTATAACAGGGGCTTATGTCTGTTTCTAGCTATTTTTCTAGGCTTAAGGAATTGTGGATGGAGTATGATTCATTGATGACTTGTCCTGGCTGTGCCTGTGAGAGTTCTAAGGCCTATGTAGAGCATTTTGAGTATCAACGACAGATGCAACTTCTCTTAGGACTAAATGAATCTTATAATCAATCTAGAAGTCAGATTATGATGCTTGATCCAGCACCAGGTGTAAACAAAGCTTATTCTCTTATAATGGCTGAAGAAAGTTAGAGAATTCTTGGTAAATCGAGCACAACAGGGAGTGATAACTCTGTTTAAGCTAATGTTGGTGGAATAAATGAGACCATGGCATTTTTTAGCAATGGTAAAGGACACATGCTAAGATCAGGATCTACTTCACAGTCAGTGTCTAATCCTCCTATGGGAGCTAGTTTTAGATCTAATCAGAAACAATTTAATAGTAATAACTCTCTTTACTGTGATTATTGTAACTGGAAGGGTCATGTGCGAGCTAATTGTTACAAATTACATGGATATCCTGCTGATTGGAAGGGTAAAAGGAGAAACAATACTGCTTCTGTTTCAGCTAATCATGTAGGATTCAACAATACTCCTGGTTTGCCTATGCATAATCAAAATACAACTAATGAACCTTGTTCCTCTAAGGTTCAACCTACTGTATCTTCTGGTGTTTTATCCCAACAGCAGCAGTTGCACTCTCATCAACAGCAATTTCATCCTCATTTCTCTCCACACCAGTATATGCAGCTTTTGAAACTGATTGAGCCAGAGAATGTCAAGAATAATTGTGATAATGCTACTGCACATGCTTCAGGTATAGGCACTTCTCCTATTCCTGATGCTGACAAATGGATCATTGATACAGGTGCATCCAAACATATGGTACACAATTTAAATATGTTAACACAGTGCAGTTCTGTAGATAAGAATGTGTGTAACAAGGTACATCTGCCTACTGGTCGTCTTGCACATGTTAGTCACATAGGGTCTTCTCAAGTGTTAGGAGGAGCTAAGATCTCAAATGTGCTACATATTCCTGAATTTCACTATAATCTTTTGTCTGTATCCATGCTTACAAGGGAATTGAATTGCTGTGCTATGTTTTATCCTGATCATTGTGTTTTCCAGGACCTCTCAAATGGGAATGTGAGGGGGACTGGCACACTGGAGAATGATCTATATGTGATTCATGTTGATACTCAGTTGAAGACTCAGGGAACTCAAATAAAGTCTCAGCAAACTCAAGCTACAACTGCTAATGTGGTTTCTTCTCACAAACCTTCAAATTTGACTCTGTGGCATCAAAGATTGGGTCACTTACCTGTTAGTGTACTAAGAACACTTAGTTGTTGCAAGCATATGTCTTCTTCCTGTATTGATATATGCATTGTTTGTCCTCTTGCTAAGCAAGTCAGATTACCTTTTCCTTTAAGTACCACTACTACACCAGCTTGTTTTCATACATTACATGCTGATGTATGGGGTCCTTATCGAGTTCCTACTCATGACAATAAGAGATATTTTCTTACTTTGGTAGATGATTACTCTAGATATACTTGGGTGTTTCTGTTGAACTCTAAGTCAGAGGTTATTGTAGCCTTACAGAACTTCTTTCAAATGTTTGGCAATGTTTTTCCTAGCACTATCAAAGTGTTGAGATCTGATAATGGTTGTGATTTTTTCAATTCTCAAGTTTCTGCTTTACTTACAACTTTGGGTATATTGCATCAGAGTTCTTGTACTTATACTCCACAGCAAAATGGGATTGTAGAGAGAAAACATAGACATATTCTTGAGATGGCCAGGTCTTTGAGATTTCAATCTTATCTTCCTCTCAAATTTTGGGGAGAGTGTGTTCTTACAAGTGTGTACTTAATCAATAGGATACCCTCTAAAATTCTTAAGGGTAAAACTCCTCATGAATTGCTGTATGACACTCTTCCTTCTCTTGATCATATCAGAGTATTTGGCTGTCTTGCATTTGCTTCTGAGGTAAAAAAGTTAGACAAATTTGCTTCTAGAGCTGTTCCAGCTATATTTCTTGGTTATTCTAGTCTTCAAAAGGGCTACAAACTTTATGGTTTATATACAAAAACTTTCTTTGTTAGTAGAGATGTTGTGTTTCAAGAATCCATTTTTCCTTTTCAACATATGAATTCTTCTAGTTCTTCACTTTTTCCTGTGTTCCAATTCACAGATGATACTTGTACTTCTACATATCTGCCTTGTGATCAGTCTCTCACTATGCCTGTTGATTCCTCTATAGATCCTAACTCTAGTTCATCTGAATCAATATCTTTACTACCCATTCCTCCACCAGAATCTGTTAGTCTCAGAAAATCTTCTAGACTAACTAAACCTCCTATATGGATGACTGATTTTATTACTCCTATGTCTAAGACTGCTTGCTTATATCCTGTCTCCAATCATGTGTCATATAATCTTCTTTCTACTTCCTATGATGCTGCACTTAGTGCTTATTCTTCTGTCTCTGAGCCTAAATCATTTATTGAGGCTTCTTCTCATCCTCAATGGGTTGATGCCATGAAGGCTGAAATCAGTGCTTTGGAGGCTAATCACACATGGAGCATTGTTGATCTTCCTCCTGGCAAGCATCCTATTGGTTGTAAATGGGTGTTTAAAGTGAAATATTTGGCCTCAGGAGTTGTTGAGAGGTACAAGGCTCGACTAGTTGCCAAGGGGTTTAGTCAGAAGGAGGGTGTTGATTATACTGAAACTTTTTCTCCTGTTGCAAAGATGGTTACAGTTCGATCAGTTTTGGCTGTTGCTGCTGCTAAAAATTGGCCTATATTTCCGATGGATGTTCATAATGCTTTCTTACAGGGTGATCTTCTTGAGGATGTATACATGGTGATTCCTCCTGGTTTTAGTAAGTCTGAGACAACTACTAAAGTGTGTAAGCTTCACAAATCACTGTATGGCCTCAAGCAGGCTCCTAGACAGTGGAATCTGAAGTTAACTGAGGCATTACTTCAGCTTGGTTTTGTTCAGAGTCACTATGACTACTCTCATTTTACTAAGCAGACTGGTTCTTCTTTGATTATAGTACTTGTGTATGTGGATGATCTTCTTGTTACTGGGAGTTGTGAGTCTTTGATTGTACAAACAAAAAATGACCTTCAACTCAAGTTCAATATGAAGGATCTGGGAGAGTTAACTTTCTTTCTTGGCATTGAATTTGCTAGGTCCAAGGAGGGGCATGTTATGAACCAACGCAAATATGCTTTGGAAATTATTTCAGAGATGGGATTAAGTGGTGCAAAACCAGTCTATACTCCAATAGATCCTAATGTAAGGTTGACTACTATTGAATATGATTTACATGTACAAGGTGATTCAGGAGTTATACAAGAAGATAAACCTTTGAAGGATATTGGAAGATATCAAAGGCTGGTAGGTAGATTACTATAACTCACCATGACCAGAATAGACATATCATTTGTTGTCCAAGTTCTGAGTCAGTATATGCATGCTCCAAAAGAATCTCACATGGAAGCAGCTCTCCGGGTAGTCAGATATATTAAAACAGCTCCAGGATTAGGTTTGTTTATGCCTTCACAAAGCTCAGAATTACTTACAACCTACTGTGACTCAGATTGGGGTACTTGTATGCAAACAAGGAAATCTGTCACAGGTTATCTTGTAAAATTTGGTGATGATGTCATTTCTTGGAAGTCGAAGAAACAAGAAACTGTTGCTAGAAGTTCTGTAGAAGCTAAGTTTAGGAGTATGGCATCAGCAGTGACTGAAATTACATGGCTTATTGGATTATACAAGGAGTTAGGAGTCAATATTAAACAACCAGTCAATCTATTTTGTGATAGCAAAGCAGCAATTCAAATTGCATCTAATCTTATCTTTCATGAACGAACTAAGCATTTTGATATAGATTGCTATTTTGTTAGAGAAAAGATATTACAGCATATGATCAAGACACAACATGTATCAACAAAAGATCAACTAGCAGATTTGCTTACTAAAGGACTTTGGAAAGCTTCACA